CAAATCCAGCTTCTCTCCGATGGCGATGAATACGGTGAGGAGAGAAGGAAAGAGGAAGCGCTGCAGGAGTATCGGTCATTTACATACATTTTATATCATGAAATATTTTAAGAATAAATATATGACAAGAAATGTCCCCTGCAAATTTAGATGCTCTTGATGTTCAAGGTCATCAACAAGAACTTTAATTGATCTTATTCTGGTCTTTTCTAATGAATGTATTTGTTTCTGGCACCAAAGAAGGTATGAAAAAAAAATTAAAGTTTCCTTTTCCTTCCCAGGTGATTCAGAGGATTTATAGTTAGATTGTTTCCAGGGTAAAGTCCTAAGAAATTCAGTATAAACAACAAAGGGAGTCAAAGCCGGCACATGGGTTTCAGATGAGCCAGCCAAAAGTGGACAAGTAATCACGTCTTCTGTTCACACCTCAATGTTTTTCCAAATGCTCAAGTGAGCTCTTGTGCTTGGATCTAATTTTCCTGCTCTCCAGTGTAACGCATGCTCATCATTTTTGTTTGCAAAGCCACAAAAAACCCCAAAGCAATCAGCCAAACTTTCCAGTTTTTCCAGTGTTTGTTATCTTAACTTTGCAAGTCTCCAAATATCTCTCTAAAGAACTACAGCATGTCTGAAAAATGTAGTTTATGAAACAGTTTCAGATGCTTGGACTGCAAATAAAAAGCACGCTGCTTTGTCCACCAAACTTGTCAATCATGAGGGAAAGCTCACATATAGCCCAGTGACCTGGCCAATCCAACAGTAGAATTTAGTCTGAGCTGATAATACAGTGCGCATTATAAAAAACTCTTGTTTCTTGTAAACATTGTTAAGTTTTTAATCAGAAGTTCAGTCATGCACTAAGGTGCTACAAGTGACTATTTATGTATTTCCATTGTTAGCTAGTTTTTTAAGACCCACACTGATTCACCACAGCAGATACATCTTTATTTAGACTTGCAATATTTTTTTTTTACACTCACATCCTCTTCCTAACATAATCCTACCAGATATTTATATCTTTTCACACACTTTTACACACATCGTGTTATTGTAAGAAAGTAAGTAAATTAATTTTTATAGCACATTTAAAACCAAAGTGCTTTATAATTTTAAAAAATAAGTGTTTCTGAAAATTTCACAACACAACAAACTATCGTTCAGTAACAGTTCAGCAATCAGTTGAAGTTTCCTTCTGTTAAGGAGCTAGAGATAATTGACTAACAAGAGTATTACAATGGTCCAGACTATTACATTCCCAACCATTCTGAATTGAATTGAATTGAATTGAAATGTTTATTTCAGTCAACAACAACAACAGATTATAATTTTACATAAAAGTACTCAAACAGTAACCGAAAAAGGAATAGGCTGAAGCCTTATGGCTTATACTTATCCTATCCCTTACCCCCATAGAAATAATCAAATCCTTAACCAAGAAAATAAATAACATTGATAAATAAGTTCTATAACAGTTTGAAAAGAAATCAGTGATAAATCAAGAAATTAAATCAACACAAACCATTTTTAACAAACCAAATTTCTATAACCTTGTATAATACTAATTTTTAAAATCTTCCTGATCTTCTGCAACTACTAACATTGCTCTCTGGCACTAGAGCTCACCTTTCTCTGGCCTTAAGTGCTTTTAATTGCTGATGGGTGTCAGCTGTGCAAAAAGAAGATGGCACTTAAGGCAGGAGAGATAGTAGGACACACCCACATGGGCAATTTCAGGAGGAGGCCCTGCTAGGGCCGTAACACAGACTAAATGGGAAAAAAAAGTTCATGCATGAGCCTTTCCAGATCTAAAGAAGATTATAGTCTGCTCTTGACCACAGCATTGACTTGGTTGTTCAATTTCAAATAGGTGTCAATGATAATTCCAGGGTTGTTAACCTGCGTTTTAATAAAACTAAAGATACCCAGTTATCTTTCAACCTCTCGGTTAATAGTAGAGGGCCAAACAATATGACGTCTGTTTTGGACTTTTTATATCCAAGATGCATTGAGCCTTCACATGCAACCGTGATTTACAAGATTCAAAGGTAAATCCAGTTGCAAATCATCTGCATGGCAATGAAAAAAGAAGTTATCTTGATGCATACACATGTACGAGGAAATAATTCAATTCAATTCAATTTTATTTATATAGCGCCAAATCACAACAAATGTCGCCTCAAGGCGCTTCATAGATACAGAGAAAAAGCCCATAATAAAGAACAAGCCCACAGATAGACCCAGATTCTGAAGCAGTGACTTTCCAAAGTTAACTGCAAAAGTTGTGAGTTCCATACAAGATTAAAACCAGTTAAGCGCCAAGCTCTTGACTCCTACACAGTGTTCCAGGCGCTTAATGAGTAAACCGTGATCAGCAGTGTCAAATCAGAACTAAGATGTAACAACCACTAGAATCAGCATCAAGCAGAATAGCCTTTGTTGCTTTGAAAAGAACAGACTCAGAACTGTGAAAGGCCCTGAAACCTAATTGAAAGGACTCACAGATATTGTACTTGTCTAGAAAGGATGGTTGATTAAAAAGGACTTTTTCTAGAACTTCAGCCAAAAGTTTTGATAGAGGGCGATAACTGCTCAGAACATTCACTTCCAAACTAGGCTTGGCTGGACTATTGCATGCTTAACACACATAGGAGCTAAGCTTGCATTTGGGAGAACATCACAGCCTTTCATATCAAAAGTTTCCTTAACAGACCAAAATGGAAGAGAATCTTTTACCAAAGTGGAAAATGTCACGTGAGAAACCAAGTCTAAGAAATGGGAAAAGGAAAAAAGCTTCAAAATCCTCAGTAACCAGCTAATAAACAAAGGGATTAACTCAATAGGTTAATGCAGTTGCTTTAATACTTTAAACCTTATTAAGAAAGAAATCCCCAAATTCTCAGTTTATTTTTTTAATATGTATATTTCAGGATTTTTTTTCTTTTAGGATTATGACTTAGGATAGAATTTGTCGCATGAAAAAAAAACTTTGGTTTATGTTAACTTTTTTAAACCAAACCTGTAAAAAAAAAATCCCACCTTTGCAGATCCATCTAGAAATCTAAGAAAGCAAGGTTTTAAAATCTCCATGATACTTGGAGCTTATCCTTCCTCCATCTGACTCAGTTTTCCTGACTTTAAACCTACAGTAGGGCATCTAATTCTAAGCAGCGAAGCCAAGTCCGATATATATATGAAAAGGATGTACTGAAGGAAGCGGTGAGCTCTTCAACCCCACGCTTGGAAGCAGCAGAAGACACAGAGTTAGAGCAGGCGAATGCAAAGCGAGGAAGCTGTGGTAGGGCCGTGTTTTCTGCACAAACATTCAGCAGTTCTGGAGACCACAGGATGAGAGTGTACAAGCTACCATAGCCTTGTTAGGACAGCATACATGGATATAAAGTCCACAATCAAATGCAGTCATAAAGTATAGGAGGATAAAAGATCTGAAAGTGAAAAAAGGTTCAATGTTAAGAATAAGTGATTCAAATATAGTTTTTTCGTAGAGATGGATGACCATTTAAATCCTACTTCCGGTAGCCTGTGGTAAAAAAAAAAAAAAAGTACAGTGTGTGAAGCATAGATCTGAGAATAAACTCAAATCACCACATCGCAGCCGAAATTCTACTAAAAATAAGAAGTTCAGCGTTTGAGAAGTGAAAAAAAGTAATTTAAAATGAAGGCCTTATTTCAGAACCAACAACACTAGCATTTGCCCAGAGCCACTTTCATTTCATTTCATTAAAAAAAGATTGAGCAGAGACCCGGGATGGATACTGCAGAGGTTGAAGATTATGATACTGGACACCTTTTCTGTATGCCACATATGGGGTGATGACTGGCCCGGGTAAACAGGCTCTAAGTGAGCATGGTTTGGGGTTGAGGTTGACCTGATCCATGAATGCAGTCTGAGCTCTTGGGTACCTTTTGCTTGTGACATACATATTAATGTCATATATTAACTCTAACCTAGGTTAGAGTTTCATCTACTGTTGTCACCGGTGCTTCTAATGATAGCTTTAGACTACAGAATATTTTTGTGTGCTACCATGGACACTGTGTCAAAACCAGGTGATTATAGAGTCATGCAATGTTGCCTTTTTCGCCGACTGTGAGACATAACACACCGCATATTGTTCTCAGATTAATCATGCCTGCCATATTATAAGACATGTGGGATGTCATCAGGAAGGAGGCACAAACTGTCTTGTTTTACTCCAATTCACACTTCCATCTAGCTGCGCTGGCAATATCGTTTCTTCTGCCATGTCTACAGTTGTACACAGCTCGGAGGTAGAAAAAACTCTGACAGAATGGTGGTATGTTCTGTGCTCACAATGGTAAATCCCCCCAAATTTTGGTATGGCAGT